GTACATGTAGTTCTCACATCTGTGTCATTCTGGCCTTCTATGTGCCTGGTCTTTTTTCCTATCTCACACATCGCTTTGGCCATCACACTGTCCCAAAGCCTGTGCACATCCTTTTCTCCAACATCTACTTGCTGCTGCCACCTGCCCTAAATCCCTTCATCTATGGAGCCCGCACCAAACAGATCAGGGACCGACTCCTTGAAACTTTTACATTCAAGAAAAGCCAGTTTTAGTGGACAGTGATGACAATGAAGGCTAGACTAGGATAGAGGTGGCAGGGGACAGTTGGAGGAAATTCTGGAGTCTGGGAGTATGGGTTATATTGTCTGTTCCATTGTCTGCAATATGACTGCAATAAGAAATATTTGCTGTGAAACTCCTACTAGATACACCACTGGTATCTGAACCCTTTGGCCTACCCATGTGTCCTGCCTAAGGGAGGAGGGCAGGAGGCAGGAGCTACACATTACCCTGCCAGGAAAATAAGGTGAGGAATCATAATAAACAAGATCTAACTGAAATGTATCTTTTTTTCCTACTCCTGCACCCATTGTTTTGGCCTAAGTTGAAAAACTAAGCTCCTCTACAGACCCCAAACTTTGGGGGCTTGGTACTGCCACAAAGGGTGGTACTGCCTCTCAAGATAAATGCTTAGGTACTTGTCTGGGACCACAGCCCTCTCTTTTATAAAGCCAGATTCTGTTTTCAGCCTGTCCTCAAGAATGGAGCTATAGAGGCTTATCCTCCACCTTCTGAGAATCTGGAAAGATAACGTACCCTGTGATGCCAATTTGGCCAGAACACTGGTTTTTAAGACATTCCTAAATCAGAGGATCCTCTTGGTCTCGTGTATAATTGTCATTCCTCTTCCCTCACTTCCACCAAATTCCCAAGAATTAATAGCTAGAACTTCTTTCCCTGGGCCAAGGATCCAACTGAAAAAGAATCTGATGTTCTAGAAAATCATTGTAACCACATCATCTACTTGCCCGAAACTGAGCCACTTTTTTGATCTCTTGCCAATCGTCCCTTTTATGCACCCTCAGTCAAGAATGTATACTCCCCAAACAAAATCCTCATCAGCACCCCTATCTGTCCTGGTCAACATCAGTAATAGCACATGATGTCAGTGCAATATGATGAAATAGGAAGATTTCACACTGCTGCAGCTGCCAAAATAGAGGTACTAAAAGGGAAGGGTCACAGTGTTACCCAACAGGAGATGCATTTTCACCTAAAACTGCAGAATGGAAGGAATATTATATAAAGGTCTTACACACCAGCATGGGTTTCAAAATGAGGATAATCTTATATAGAAGGCCAGGAGTCACTGGTGTGGGTCAGAGAAAGCTGCAGGCTGCACAGGCAACAAGCAAACTCAAGCTCTCCAAGAAAACTATCTAACCACAGGTACTAGAAATAGCCATGAAGACCTGGAGCCTGGAAAAACCCAACCCACACAGCTCCAACAGCTGGACCAAGCAAGATAGGACACAACAAAGACAAAGCAGCTGCAGAACTGAAAAAGCAAATGATGCCATCTCTACGGACACATGGGATCTCATCAGGTCCTTTACAAAGATCCAAAGAAATAGCTCAGATTTGCATAATTTTCAGATGTTCACACTGAACCCAAGTGGATGAGGAGCATATCTACAATCTCCCCAACTGCTAGTTCAGTCATTCTCAAGACTAATTTTTTTTCATGAAGTTCTGAGTTTAAAAGTCCTCTAAGCCATAATTTCGTGGATAACTGTGACAAAATACTGATGAGTTACAATTCTTTAACATGTCCATGTCCTTCTCTTAAAAGAGATTTATCTTTAATAAATCTGAGAAAATAATTGAGATATGAACAAACATATATGCAGCAAGATGTTTATTACAACATTATAAAGAAATATAAAGAAGTTCCTGTGTGTTATCTCATGTCACACATACATACACACACACCATTTCTTACCATTCCCCTCTGATACATGAAAAGGGAAATCATATGCAGCCAGTATTCATAAGCATTGAATTCTGTCACCCTCCCACCACAGGAAGACTCTTCTAAGGCACCTTCAATCCCTGGTTGTGTACAATTCTCCGAAGTAGCTGGTTCCAAAGCTGTATGTTGTCCAAAGTAAGGAATTTCTTTCTTCAAGCCAAAAATCTATAACCTTGGACATTTGTACTTTGCTCTGCATTAAGACTGCATACATACCATTCTTGTAATGTATTTATAAAGCTTTACTAGCACTCTCTGATGCCTCATAGTAACCTGAGAAGTTTTTTTATAACTTTGGTCCAAAACTTGACCTCAACCATTATGACCCTATTCATAGTCTTTATCTCATTTAGTATAAATATTCATACATTTAACTGAAGAAATGTTTATGAGGTTGATTATAGGGTACTGCCCTAAATCCTGCTGGGGTATTACTTAATATATGATATATATGCTGTATTTTCTTTTTATCAACAAATTCCCAACTCCAAAACATACTGTCTCAAGAAGTTTCAAATAAGAAATTAGGGACTCATCTGATTATCCTTATAGCCTGAGAGAAGTGAAGAGACTTATTAGGGCTCTTTATTCCTCTACAGTCTTTGCTGTCAATACTATTCTGTAGTGCCCAAGAGGTACCTGCAAAGAACCTCATGTTCTCTGGATAAACTTTCCCATTTATTCCCCTCATGTTCTCCATTCAGATAACCCTCCAATATTCTGCAGATGATCTGTGCCTCTTTTCCAAGGGGACCCCAGAAACCCTGGCAGCAGGATATGGCCCAAACAACTCAGTTCTTGGGCTTACCAGCTCCATTCAGGACTCAGTTGACATCTGTTTACCTTCAATAACTTTCAGTCTCAGACTATGAGCCAAAAGGAAAGAAACTTACTTAATGTCAGTGTACAGCAGTATGAAATTTAGGGAAGCCTACAGACTCACAGTGATAAGAAAGCAAGATAAAGAAGACAGAAGGTATAAGCTTCTGAGGAGGACCCAATTCTTCAGGACCCAATTTTTCCTGAGCCCATCTCTATGAACAAAAATCCTAGATAAATCTTCCTCATCCTATTTCACCAGCAACCCATTATTCTCTTCTCTACCTCATCAACCCACTTCATTGTGGACTCCCCTCAGCATCTACAAGTACTCCATTCTCCATCTCTGTTTATCAGTCACTCTCGATGTCTCTGTACTTCTGCAACTCTGCCTTCTTGCACTGTAAGTTTTATCACTTTTATGCTTACTTTCATTGTGAATGCCTCTTTCCCTCTACCTTTGTCTTACTCATTGAGAATTCTTTTCTGAAGAAAAGAGAGGTACCAATTATACTACACTAAATAATCTCTCCTTATGAAAATAAAAAATGTACTAAAAGGAAGTGACTTGGTTTCACTTGTCTTAACATGAAATTTGAGGTTTCTGATTTGTTCTGTTGTGGCTTTTCTCCCATCCTGCCCATTTCCTGTTAACTAAGCCACCATGTACTTTCCATCTAGCATACATCTCTCCCACCACACAACGTGAACAGAAGAACATGTTGATTTCTCCCTTCACCAAAAGGAATTATTGTTTAATGGCTTAAGTTAGAATCAAGATGACTTAGATTTGAATTCTAGATATTCCACTAACTCACTGTATGCCCTGAGCTAATTACTCAACTTTTCTGAGGTCTTTCTTCAAAGGATCAACGGTATCTGGCATAGACTCTAGCATAAAAAAGCTCAACAAATATTTGATATATTTGATATTAACTCCCCTCCTGAAAAATAGGACAAAGCTCACTGTCAAATATTTGCTCAAAGACCTAATACCCACATATTTAGCAATACTTTCCTCTGAGGCCAGTTACATCTTTTTTGGGAAATTTTTCTTGACAACACTCTTTCCTACCACAGTAGAACCCTTCTCTGGGCCCTACCTTCATATCACCTCCACCAGCTCATTAGACAGCTAACTTTATGGGATAGCTCTATACTCTGGATCAAGTTAGGGAAGGACACTCCCTATACGCAAGAGGTCTTCATGTGCACAAAGGACACTTGCCACAGAGACTGAGAGAACTCTTTGGACAGATAAGGTACGGAGTGGGAGAATAGTTACCAGGCTCTATCTTCTCCAGTAAGATACTAGGTTGAGACCTCTGGACAAAGACATAAGGAAAGATAACAGGTAAGAGTTGGAGTGGGAGAGAAGCAACTAGACACAAATCAGCCTAAGACAGAGTGAAGAACATAAAGAATTTCCCTCAAATTTACTTGGGCATTTCTGATTTCCTGAAAATTCTCTCCAGTTACTAAGGCAACATTATCCCAATTAGAGTCTTATCCTCCACATTGTCAATGCTCAGCATGCCACCCACCTACACACATGCCTGCTTTTCACTGTACTTATAACTCACCCATTAATAATGGGTTTCAATCTAGGCTGCATACTAAAATGGTTAAAGAAGCTTTTAGAAACCGTGCCCAGGCACACCCAGATCAATTAAATCAGAATCTCTTGAATTAGGAGATAGACAAACATCAATAATTTTTAACATTCCTAGATAATTCCAATGTGTAACCAAAGTTGAGAACCATTGCTTGGATCTAAGTTGAAGCTATATTTTCATGTCCTTCAGGATCCCTATTCAACCTCACAAAGAAGTCTTACGCAGCTAAATAGACAGTAAATTGCTTCAGGAAGGCTACTAAAAGGAGGAAAGCCCTGATCCTGTCTCCTTAGAAGACCAAAAACTACACACATAAACATATCCTAAAAGATACCTACATTTTCCTCCCTTAAAGCAGGAGGATGAATTGGTCACTCAGGAATATGAACCACAGGCTGTAGTGAAGCTAAGAGAGTTACTGTCCTCTCCTATCCAAGACTCCATCACCTAGCAGGACCTCTATGACCTCACGAATAATAGGTCAGAGCCCAAGGCCTGGGTCCTCACCTTGCGGGGCAGCTTGGGGTTTCCGCAGCAGCCACTGCCCTACCCAATCCTTCCCACACCCCACCATGTTGGTTAGTAACCCCCACCTGCTAACACTGGATGAAGCTGACGCTACCTGGACCCTCATCAAGGATAAGGTGGGTAAAGTAAGGAGGCTAAAGAGGAAGTCAAAGTATGACCCAGATGGGTCTGAGCAGCTTGTAAGTAGGAAAGGGTAATAAGTCTAAAACAACAGTAAAATAACATTTTCTCAGTGCTTGCTTATGTGTCAGGCTCTGGGGTAAAGTGCTTTGCACAAATCATTTCATATAATCCTAACTGCAAAATTATTAAGAAAAGTTCCTCAAAAAGCAATGTATAGGGAGCTATGAGAGCAGAGAAGAGAAGCAGGAAGTCAAAGATAGAACTTGGAAGGTCAGGAAGGTGTCCTGGAGAGTGACATTCTGGCTAGAGAAGAATTATTTATACAAAAAGGAAGAGAAATAGCTGGCACATAAAAGGTACATATTATGAATGAGTTAATGTGCAGGTGGATGGGGAGTGAATAGTATACTAATTAAAGGTAAAGCATATGGATCCCTATTCAACCTCACAAAGAAGTCAAATGCTCATTTGCAATCTGCAGTCTTCTACAGCAAAGTAGTAGTCGTGAAAAGGAAGGCAAAGAGGTATAGGGGATGATCATGAAAAGTCCTTTAAACTTCCTATGTGATCTAGAACTTTACCTTAAACCCCATAACAAATATTCTCTCCACCTTAATTCCAACAAAGTGAGAAATTTGGGTTTGAGCCAAATGTGTAAATTTTAAGGAGCAAAAGAGATCATAACTGTGTCTGGGATGCAGGTGTCCAATAAGTCCCACCAGATTACTTGTCAGCTAAAGGATAGATAGCTGCAGTTTTCTCAGCTTGGAGAATCAGGTTATGGCTATGTGATTTGATGGGAAATGTATTTAAAGCATTCAATAGAAGCTAGTCTGCAAAGCTTAAACCATCTTAAAGCAATGTCTACCAGACTCAAAACAGCCTTAATGGCAGGTAGCTACCATTTCCTGGGAAGCTGCTCACCACAAAGATCAGGGAAGTGGAAATGAAAGTGCCAAGGTCTTGCCAAGTTTTGAAAGTAACTGATTTCAGCAAGGCAGAAGGCTGAATCTGGACTAGTCTAATCAGAATTAGAGTAAAAGTAAAAGGGGTAATTCCACTATTAGAATGCTATACCATCTCTAAGTAGGAAAAGAAAAAAATAAAATAAAACCTCACTATACTATTTAAATGGAAGATCAGAGTAGAGATGTGCAGGTTAAGTCACCAGTGATACGTGGCAAATTTAAGGAACAGGGTAGGGTACCTTTGAGTGACCTTGTTTCTTGTCTGCAGAAATGATGACAATTTACTGAGTACCTTGTAAAATATGTGGCTAAACAGAATGTGCCTCAAGAACTCCTCCCCATTCAGCATTCCAAACAAAATATAACTAAGAAGATAATTTTCTACCATCACTTTCCTGAGATGGCCCTAGGAAACCTAAATTTATACCCTTTAAGGTCTGTACTTTACCTTAGTTCAGTAGTAGCAGAAAAAAAAAAATAGTCTCAAATGATGACTCTACAGATATGTTAGATTTGGGGGCTGGGAATAGGGAATAAAGTATAGCACTTTAAGCACTGGGCTCAAATATGAAGGAGACTCAAAAGAGGAATTTTTATCTACCCTTGCTCTCTAGCTGAATAGAGAGCCAGAAGTCTTAGCCAGTGAAAACTTGGAATGGATTAAGATAACAACAACTAAGTACAATTACTAAAGAGGATCCTATAGGTCATGAAGTCTGCCATACTTTCTAATAGCTGGGTTACCAAGCCCAAAAGAAAACCCAGACAAAAAGGAAATAAACAGGGAACTTAAGTGCATGCTGGAACTAAAATTATAAAGATGAGGATTAAACTTCCTAAAACAACTTATCCTCTACAACTAGGGTGAAAAGTATATTACTAAGAGGTACTTGACATACTTTATAGACAGAAAATGGACATTATGAATCTATTTCTGCACATGCATTCTTGACTAATGTAACCAATCACCTAGGAATGATCCTTGAAATTTCTTTTCCCACACCACTTGAGACCAAATTCTACTAGTCCTATGACCTAAATATAGTAATATTTTCTCCACATTATTTTAGTTCAGGGATTCATCGTGTTTTGCCTAGAGTATTTCAATACTTTATATGACATCTCTTATTTTATGCCTTCCTATAACAATCAGCTTTCTAAAACACCTATCTGGCCCTGTCCCTCTTACCCAGAGTCCTTCAAGTGGCTCCCCATTACCCTCAGTATAAAATTCCAATCCCTTATGAAATGCATGCACACAAGGCCTTTCATAATCTAGTTTCTGTGTGCCCATCCCTCCTCATACTTTAAATGTAAGTATCATGAAATTATGTGTTCCTAAACACGTCCCTCATGGTTTAAAAGCTCAGAGTTTTTCTCATTGGCTGTCCCTTCTTACTGGAATGACTATTTTCCTATCTGGTTAATTCTTTCAAAATTCAAGTATTATCACCTAGAAACCTTCTTTGATCCTCTTTCTAGCAAAGACAAAGGTTGTTAGGTCGCTTCTTCTCTTCTTCATATTTTGTTATTACTTCACTTAGCTGACTACTTACACTTGTCTCCTTCATTAGACTGAGCTATACTGGACAAGAACAGTGTCTCACTCTTACCTGTATCCTAGTACCTAACACATAGTAGACATGCTGCAAGAGAGAACTGGTGGATAAGCAGTAGGTATAAGTCTGGGCATGTAGAGATGTAACTGAACAGGAAACAGTGGGAAGGTCAATCTGGAGTAGGCTATCAGTTAACTCCTGACCCTAACTCAGTAACTCACTTATAAACTGGACACCTACAGGTCATCGAGGAGCGCTTTGGGTCCAATGTAGTGGCAGTACCTTTCCTGTCGGATGCAGCCTGCTATGACCTACTGGGTGTGCTAGTGAAACAGTCCCGCTCAGCCCACTCCCGCCTGGCTTTGCCAGGTCGGCAGGGCCGGAGGGCACTAAAGCCAGTGGGACCACTACCAAACCTCCTAGAACAGGCAGGGTCTGAGGGTGTCTTTTCCCACTGCACTCGGGAATACTCACCAAATGGACGAGCAGAGATAGCCTATGAAGAGATGCGACTGTTGGATGGGCAGCCCTGCCGAATCCGCCTACATATGGGTGGCCTGCGTAAGAAGGTTGCCTTCCTGTTGCTGCCACCAGGACAGGTGAGCCTAGAGCAGACTCTTCCCTGGCTCCGAAGCACCCACAGCATCTATGTCATCTATCAGGTCTTCTCCTGCTCCTGGCTGCAGCTAGGGCTGTTACCTACAGCCCGTGAGCCCCAGCTGCTCCGGTTACAGCGGTCATTGCCTGTTGCCTTCTCCTGCCTCAAGTTTTCATTGCAGCCCAAGGGTGTACTGGGACCACAGAAGCCTCTAATCAAAGACCCACTGCCCCATGGAGCCAACTGGGTCAGACCCAACCTCAGTTTCATACCAACTCTGGCCCCCACATCAGCACCTGCTGACCCCCCAGAAGCTGCTGATGTGCCCCCACCTGTCCCAGCCCCAGCTACACCTCCACCCCAGGAAGGGCCAGAGGGCAGACCCACCAGATTCTCCTACAAGGGCCGAAACCCCTTCCGGAGAGGGCCCCAGATGCTGTCAGGTACTGCTAAAGGAAGTGAAGATGAAATGGGTGGGAGGGACAAGATGGGAGAAGGATGGGACCTGAGGAGTATAGCCCAGGAATATGTGGGTAACCCAAGACTATGCACAGGTCCCTGGTGCAGGGAATGGAGTGAAGGAGCCAGGGGTGGGTGAGATGGAAGCATGGCCCTGGTGAGGGGGTGGTAATAGCATGGGGGACCAGAGGGTGGGACTAGGGAGGCAAAAAGACCAGGGCATGAGTCAAGCTGTTACTATCCCCAACCCTGGCAGAGAACTGGCTCTTCAGCCCCCGCAGCCCCCCGCCAGGAGCCCAGGGTGGGGGCCCCGGGGATCCCGATCGGCACTCCATGTCCCTGCCCCTGCTGCAGGGTCTGTCCTCGGAGTTCGACAGCGACGACTGAAGCTGAGGCGAGAGATGCAGGGGGCAAGGCCCCCAAGATCTGGCATAGGGATACTGGTTCCCAATAAACATCAGCTGCTGCTCCCCAGAACCTGGACTTATGCTGCTTCTTCATTCCGGGGTCCAAAGAACAGAGAGTTTTCCCACTTTTTCCCTAGGCTTCAAGTCCTCTCACCAGCTAAGGGCATAAGAGATACCTTGAAACCCTGGCATCGATGTCATCACCAGAGAAAAATACCCCTGATCACCTCCCCATCTATGTACAACCTTTTTGGGGTCCTAGCCCCGTAGATAAAGGGTGGGAAAGAAGAATGAGCACAGAATAGAGATTTCCCTTTTATACATATTGCAACAAGTTCTCCATAAAACATTTATCTGAAATAAATTAAAAAGTTCTTTTGCCACTGCCTCCAAACATAAAAAGGAGCCTGTGCCTTGGCCTCAGCCTAGGCCACCTATGGCCCTGATTGTCCATGGAAGAAAATTAAGGATTGAGGGGTCCAAAGCCTGAGATGGGAGGGCCAGATCCCTCCTCTGAAGTATCCAACAAGAAAGGCGAAGTTACAGCATGGGCCTGGGAGATGGCAGCCAACTCCTTGAGAAACTCAGGGAAAATGACTGCACAGTAGACAGCATTCTTGACACGAAGAGCCTCACCTTGGCGCTCAGGGGCCCCGCCCCGGGGGAGTAGAATTGGAGTTGAAGCCCCAGGGGAGCCCCCACCTAGGCCAAGTCCTGCTCCGTCTCTCCCAGGCTGAAGGACCTGTGCCGCCTGCCGGGCCCTGGTTGGACTGTGTGCGTGCCGCAGGAGTAACTCCCCCAAGGATGGCCTCCGGCTCTTCACTGAGAATAAACAGGGTTATCAAGGTGCTAGTATCAGGAAACCTATCTTAGTCTGAAAGAGTAGATTCCCCTGCCCCCAACCCCCAGGTTCCTGGACTTCTCCACTAGGGTTCTAAGAAAATGGAAGGACAAGATGGAGCAGAAGTGAACCTCAAATTCCATTTCCTGTTCCATCCTTGAAGATGACCCAGGACTTTAGAGGGAAGGCATTCTCTCTCATTCTAGCACCAAAAGGCTACCTGTCAAGCCTTTAATTCTCTACATAGCTTCCCCATCCAGGCAACCATCATCCTCAGACTTAACTAGTCAACACCTGAGCCACTTCATATCCAGCTGTGATCTCCTCCTTCCCCATGCCACTTCACCAGGAAGGATTCCCCTTCTTTCTAATCACTATTTATTTTCAGTCTATAACATGCCCTTACTTCATGCTTTCTATCACCCTCCAAAACTAGAGTCAACTACTTCCCCTTCCTATGCAGACCTATAACACCTGACACACATCCTCTACTCCATCAATACTCACAGGGCTTATATGTGCCATCATAGTTCAGGGACTATTTCATTTCTGTCATACACCACTCTCCCTCTAAGATCTATTTTCTGGTATGACCATTTCAACATTCACCAGTCCCTGTCCTATACCCACAAAAACCTTCCTCCCACTGGTTGTGGTCAGACAACTTTATGTTGGTTTAGACTCAAACAAACCTTCAAAACACTGTCTTCTCTCTAATTTTCTAGAGGATTCCTAGGTCTGGACCCATGATCATTATCTAGCTTGGACTCTAGCCTCTAGATTATGATAGCAGTTTCCATTTCCAATCTCTAATATCATCTTCAGAGACACTATTAAATTTGGCATTCAGAAGCACAACTAAGCTCACCTCCTGTCGTTTATTCTCAAAACTCTCCATACCCCACCTTACCTTTGCATCTGCACCTACCTACTTGGAACCCAACAGACACATTACATGCATTTATAGCTCTGTCTTCTTACATTTTATTCTATCTTATGTTTCATTTTATTTTCATCCTTTCTGACTTTTACTCTCTCCACTTCTTTGGGAAACCTCCTCTGACTTGCTCTCCACTGACTTCCCATTTTACTGCCCTTATCTGAACATACTTTAATAATTTATTTCAATGTCTTCTACCTCATGCACAAATCTGAGCTTATGAACTTAGACTGTCTTATCTACCTTTACATCCCTGGTTCTTCCAGGAACCCCAGTACTAAAACTGTAAAAGTAAGAAATAGTCACAGTATAATAGACCATTAGGAAATCATGCTAAGTAATTTCAACAAGATCTTCACAGCTGAGCAATAACCCTTGTGATAGCCTCTTCCCAACTCATACATGCTTCTCCTTAAGCCTGCATTTCATCTCTGCTCTCAGCGTATCATTTTTGCCTCCAATTTCACTAGAAAAGAATGACATGAAATCCCTAACATCTTCCTCCACACTTCACAACTCCACTGGTACATGTAATTTCCACATTTTTCTCTTCACGTTTGCCCAAAAAGGTGGGGGACCAACCTTTTCAAGCCCAAAGTTAATTTTTTTTCCGAGTGCTCAATTTCATTATTTCTACCACCTTTGGAACCTTGCTCCATTACTATATTCCTCTAGTCACTGTCTATATTGTATGCTCTCTGAAGGCAGAGATCATATCTTATACTGCCCTGAATTCCCTGTTCCAAAAACAAAGATCAGCAATATGTCAAGTGTTCAGATACTTGTTAAAGTAAATATCTCTATTTAAAATTCCATTTTCTCATTTAATTCTTCCTTTCTTATCCCCACAACCACTCATCAAATTCTGCCAACATATCTATTCCATTTCTACCTTATCAAATGTTTCTTTTCTTTTCCACTATTCTAATTCAAGCCTTGCTGACCACTTTTGCATTATGACAGAGCCTCCTGACTCTTCTTGCTAACTTCCTTCTCCTAGTTCCAATTCACCTCTGCTAACTTACCCATTTCTCCACTTCCGATTTAAGAACCTCCAGTTTCTTAAATACATTTCTCAACTTCTAACCAGCCCAATTTCGGCTTGGAGAACTTTCTGCTCTGGCCAAATATTTCCTGCCTTATCACCAACTGTTCCATCACCTTCTAAATCCCCTACTCCAACTACACATACACAGTCCAGGATATCTCCTGAACAAAACAATAAAGACACTCTCCCCCTTTGCCTACCTAAATCCTACTGTCTCTTAAGGACTATGTTAAATGTCACATCCTTTGTAAGGTCTCAAAATATCTCAAGCTGTGGACTACTATGTCTGCTTTCCTGTCCATTTAAAATTTCCTGTCCATTTAAAATTTCCTGTCCATTTAAAAGCTGGTTTTGCTAATACTGCTGATTGGGCTCTTAATTGACAAACCAATGTTGTAGCCTCGGAATCAATGCCTGAGGACAAACATCAAGGCTCTATTTTCTACAGTTCTCTAGTTCCTGGCACAAGGTTTCACCTTGAATAAGAGCTCAGCTAACCTGGGCTAAGGGGTTATCTAAGAAGGGTAGGGAGAGGGGTGGTGGGACAGGCCTCACCTAGGGGATCGGAGCGGCGGGGGGCAGGTCCTGCTGTGGGACCCTCAGCCCAGTCCAACTTGCCACGGGCAATGAGGTACTTCTTGGCTTTGGACAGTAGTGCTGGGAAGTCCTCCTGGGAGGCCGCAAAGCTCTCAATCTTATTCTTCACAGAGCCCAGCACCTATAAAGCACAACTTTATGACACTTCTGGTGGCTCTAGACTGACAGTCCTTTCTAGTCCCACTGAGCCTATTCCCAGCCCACCCAGGGTCACTCCAGCTGCGGGCCTGGCCCACCATGGAGCCTGGACGCACCCATGCATGCATGCATCGCACACCTGCAGCAGGGACTTGACACTGGGCTGGAAGACCATGTTGGTGTTGAGCAGGAAAGAGCGGAGCAGGGGCTGGGGGTGACAGGCCAGCTGGGCCACCAGCCCCGTCAGCAGGAAGTTGACATAGACGGAGTTCTGCAGCATATTCTCGAGTTTGGCAAAGAGCACAGCCATGAAGGGGCCTGGGGGAGGGGTGGGCACAAGGACACAAGGCCTGAACACAATGCATAATGCACACATTCCTCCCCAAAACAAGAGATCCCCACAGGATGAAAATTATTTGTATGTCAGTCCTATGACCACCTATTCTGGAGGAAATAAGGTGGCAGACACAACATGGACCGCAAGAGTCCAAATGCCAGCTTTATATACATCTGAGCTCTCAAGAGTCAGATCTTAGGCTCTGGAGTCATAGAAATATCATTTCAGATTTTAGTTTTACCCTTTACTAGTTATATATTACTGAATAAGTAAGAACTCTCCAAACTTTAGTTTCCTACTTGGTAAAATAAGAAAATATACCTACCTCATAAGGTGATTAAGAGGATCAAAGAGATATCAATGTAAAGTATTAAGTCTAAGATCTGACAAATTTTATGTGTTTGATTATAACCATAAGCCACAAAAAAAATCTTAGTTTTTGAAAAGCTTCACCCAAGAGGATGAAGAATGACTAGGTAAAGACAATAATTAGGACCAAAATTCAGAATCAGGTCCCACACAAGACAGAAGAACATTAAACCTGGTAAGAAAGGAAGCAAGAAAAATGTACAGCCAAGACAAACAGATTATATTTAGAGGAGAAATCTTTGGGGGACCAGAAAAAACATGAGCTCTGTCTTTCAGGAGCCAGGAACCAAGGAGGTAGAATAGAAATCTGCAGTAAAAGGAGAGTTTAGTTCGAGGATATAGTAAACAGACTCTTTGGAGGAAAAGAAGATAACAAAAGGGGATCAGTTTTATTTGCAAGAGAGACAGTCTCAACTAAAACACATCACTAGCACTAGATCTAGATCCATTAGTCTTTCTGATCAGGGGTTTTGGAGAAAAGAGAGTATATCTAAGAACTGTACTGTGAATTGAGCCAAAATTACAATTAAGGGCAAGAGATGGTGAATACTGAAAAAGATCTAGGTTCCCACAACTAGCCTTGGCTCAAAGACAACTAACTAGCTTAACAGGGTCCTAAGGTAACTCATCACTTTGTTTTTCTGTTCTTCTCATTTCCTGGGAGTTTCTTATAAGAGATGATCCAAAAAGCTCAGATGAGTTTACAAAAA